TCTCCATCCCTAATTTTATCTTGGGCTTTTACATCCACACCACACAATCCTATACATTTACATATCTAACACCTAAACTACGATATTTATATGCATACCACAAAAATCTTAAACATCACATCAAAACACTATTACTAACTTTCTAAAAGCGAAAAATACATTTTTATGCATAAGTTTATAAGACCAAGGTGTTATATGTAAATATCAAAGTTTAGGTGTTTGATATAAAAATACATGAAAATTGTGTGACATGTATGTAAATTTTTGTTTTACCTATTTCCTATTAGAAACATTTCTAGGATTATACAAATCGTCGGCAACTGTTATAATAAATTACATTCATTCTCTATAAATAATGAATCACTCTTCTATGTCAAGCCACTTTGACTCCTTAGCTTGACTCCCACTCCCTTCCCCCCGCCCCACACAAGGCTCTCGAGCTGCGTAGTTTTAAAATAAAATAAAATTTATAATTTAATTATATTATACAAGTTATTAAATTTTAATAGATTATTATTTCGAGCCAAGCCGAACACGAGCTTAATTCGAACAAAAAAATTAAATCAAGTCAAACACGAACAGACAATTCACGAGACATTTTGAACACAAATTGAAAAAAATAAATCAAATGAGCCAAACAAGAAAAAGGCTTAGGCTCGCTCAAGTTTGGGTTGTTTACACCCCTATTTTTAGTGTTGGCATGGGCGAACCAACGTACATTTGAGAGCAACAATTTTTTAAAACATATTCTGTCAATTATCAGAAGGGAACACTTTCTAAAACCATATTCTGCCAAAACATATTCTGCAATTTTTTAAAATGTCCGCTTAGGCTCGCTCAAGTTTGGCTCCAGTATTTTTTTATCAAATAATCTGCTAAACCATATTCTGTCAACGATCAGAAGGGAACACTTTCTAAATCCAAACAGCTAAGAAAGAGCAAAAGTTCGATACATTATGCAATGATAGTTATATATAATCTATGGTGAAAGAGGAAAGGATAAGAGAAGAGGTGGGAAGGGTTTAGGGTTTAACCTCAGACGGACCCCTAAATCGTAGTTCGGCGCAATCTGGTTGTGTTGCTTTCTCGCGCCAGCATTTTAACTTTAACTGAAGATCTAAGCAGGATTTAATCTAAATCCTGCCAAACAGAAAAAATGACTGCTTTAATGGCATCTTAAATCCCATTTCTCCCCCTTTTTTCCCTTAAATCCTGAATTTAAATTCCAGTCCAAATGGAAGGTGGAAGTACAAGATTTCGTGGAGCTGAAGCGCACGGGATTCTTAACTCAGAGCTTCCTCTAAGAACTTAATCACCAATTCAAAGGAGTGTGGCCATGCCGACTAGCGTTCTATCCTAAATTATTCCAAATGCTAGCTAAGAAACAAAAACGCGAAGGGTATAAGGAGGTTATACCGTCGTGGTGGTTGCTCGATGTCTGGCGAAATCCGGGAAGAAGCTCTCCTCATGGTAAAAGGGGAGTTGTTTGTGGTTCTTTACACTACGACGACGTCACCGCCCGCTGATGGTGAGATGCTCCGGAAAAGCTTCCGGCCAAAATGAAATGAAAGTCAGTAAGGTCACCGGTGCCTTGGGTCGTCGGCCGCAAGGGAAGAAGGCTGTGAAGTCACCGGCAGCCCAGGTTGCCGGCGAGGAGGACCTCGGGCCAATAAGGTGCGTCTGTGAGGTAGACGAGGCTCAAGGCGGGGACTTCGCCGACGGAAGGACGGAAGCTTGGCCGACGGGGGAGGAAGTTGACAAGTGAGGGTTTCGGTCGCGAGCAACAGAAGGAGGCGCGAGGGATCTGAGATTCCGCGAGGGTTCCGTGTGAGAGGGGGCTAAGGCCGACGAGTTGGAGGAGGCTCACGGCGGGAACTTCGATGATGAAAGCTTCGTCGGCGGGAGCGGGAAGCCAGTGCAAACGCTCGGCGGAGGCGGCTAGTCGCGAAATCGGCGGGGCTGGGGCTCAATTATTGCGTGCGGACATGCGGGATCCAGGCCGCAGATCACGGTAGATGTCAGAATTATTTTTGTTTTTTTTATTAAAAAAATTTAGGTGTGGTCTATCGAAATACATCGGGACCGTAGATCACATCGTAGATCATGTGATCTACTGTCTGCCTGCGGTGTCCGATCCGTATAGAATAATTTTTCACGCGAACGAGGGTTCAACGGAAAATTATTGTGTACACCACAACCTTTAAAAAGTTAAAAAAAAGTTTTATAGTGTACCATTTTTTATTTTTTTTTAAAAAAAATTATTGGACAGCGCACTCATCACACAGAATAATTGTGATCATAAAAATTTTTTTTAATTATTTTCTTTTAAATATTTATTATTAAAAAGTCGCACGTATTGATGGCTCATGCACTAAATCATAGCAAAATAGGTGTCTTCTACAGTAAAAATTAATGTTACACTCGCTCGCGCGGTCCGTTTCGTTATCCGAGATAATCTAGACAAATTTGGTGACGGACAATTCAATTTAAGCCACTTTCGTGAGCAACTTGGCGAGTGAGATTTGGTAGCCCAATTGAAGTCTTCCAACACATGAAAAGTCTACCGATTTTCGTCTAAGCGACGACCAAAGTCTAGCAAAATGATCATGACAATTTAACCCTCCACGCATGTCGGAGGGTCTGAAATGGATAACTTACGCAATGACAATCAACCCTCGCAAAAAAGCAATATTTTGTAGCGCTTGAGCGGACTTTCTACACTAATGAGATCAAAAATTGATGCTAACAATCTCCCTCAAAAGAAATATTGATTCTGACCCTAAGTGTTGGTATCTTATGATACATATGGATACGACGCATTTATCAAAAGTGTCAGCGCTACATAGCAGACAACCAAACAATCAAGATCATCGATATACACCGCAATCATAATTCACATCATTTCATTTTACTCTGCACTTTTTTTACAGACAACCAAAAAAACCCTAAATCCTACTTAAATTAAATACTGCTTGCAACCAAACTGCCGCTCAGACATATCGTGTGCACCCAATAAAGCAAGACCAATAAGTTTAGCATTAAAAAAAAAGATCTATAATCTTTTTAATTCAATTATTACCTTCATCTTAATGAAATAATCTATGAATTAAATTTTAATAAAACGGATATATTGAATGCAGGCATGATCTTCTGACATCACGTCCAGGTTTACTTTTGAATAAGCTGAGAAGTATGAACTATGGAACCAAAAACCTACATGACCAGAGTTACAAGGGAATTCAGCCTCTTTTTTAACTAAATTAGTTGAAAATTTGCTCCAAGAAAGAAAAAAAGCTCTGGAATTCTCAACATCGCACAAGTATATTTCCAGTGTTTTTCAACTCCAATAATTTGATGTCATTTTGCTAGCAGAATCTCAACTTTTTAATCTCTCTTGCAGTCTTCCCCTAATATTATGAGATGGCTTAAGCACAAGTTTTTTTGCTAATTATTTTCATGTTTAGGGTTTAGCTCTCCCTTATGCTTTATAAGATGTTGTGGGGTTTAGAATGGCCATACATGTCCAAGATTTTTAACTGAAGAGGATAATGGGAAAAGTCTAGGAAAGACTGATAAGTTTTTTTGGTAAGATTGAATTCCATATCTTCTGATTAACTTGGAGATGTGTAAACAAGATGACAAATCAATCAAAACTTAATTTTGATCTTTTCAAAGCAATCATAGAAGTTATGATATTCATTATATCCAAAATTTCATCTTGATTTCTAGATACAATGGTTTAATATGATAAGTTGTATATATTAATTAGGGCTCCTTACTATTTGTCATTTGCTTAAGTTGGTTTAGCTTTTGTTGGCTTCTTGTCTGATTTATGATTGTTTTACATGTGTTTGGCATGATTGATATGGTCTATTAAGTGAGGTAATTTTTTCTATGTTTACAAATCTTTTAAATTTATTTGTTTTTAGAGATTAAGCATAGATTTGTCAGATCTGATTATGAATGGAAATAAAACTACCAAAGGCTCGTCTAATTGATACTTTTTATCTCATACTCATAATCTTTTCTATATTTTGTATGTTTTGTATGTGGAGACTTTGCTTTGTATGCGAAGATGTATTTCTTTTTTTAAATCAATGCAATCAATACATCAATTAAAGCTTCTAATTTCTAAAGTTGATCATATTTTTATTGATAGATTTTATATGGTTTTATTGCTTATCTCATTTGTAGTTATTGTTTGTCAATTATCAGTTAATCATTAATGATTCTATTTTTTTTGTCCTTAATTGACTCCTTTTTTTTTTCTTATTCAGTGTAGTCTGAAAATTCTCAAGAAATTAACGTTATTATCTTGTTTCATATTCATAGCTTGAGCTAAGCTGACGGGAAAGCTTCCTCTCTTTCTCTGCCACATTTTCACGCATACTTTATCATATCAAATTATCATCTCTTTTGTCAAACTTCAATGAGAGGTTCTTATCATTGACAATCCCATCCTTAAGAGCTAGTGTCATTCAAAGCATGCTTCAGTGTGTTGGTGTTCGTCTTTTATAGATGCCTGTAAATCCATCACCATATAGAGTTGCCTTGAAACATCCCATATGCTGCAGTGATAAGATTATTGTCGTACACTACTCTAAGGGTTTACTAGATCAAAAAACAAACTCAATACTCATAGCCTCAAAATATCATTCACATTAACTATTTTAATAAAATATTTTTTCAATTGATTTTACAAAAACTTCTCTAACATGTTAATGATTATATTTATTTATGTTGGTGTAGGTAATTTGAAGTTTATAACGTCGCATGATGGTAAAATAATTGAGTATTATTATTCAGGCTTTGATAATACTAGAAGATGCACATATGAACTTGATGAGTATATTTATGAAAAGTTAATAAGCTAAATGGCTAATAATGAGTGATATGTAAATAAATATTTGATTGTTATAAATGTAAGATTTGCTAACATTGGATTGAAATATATATGATGTCACTAGCAGTTGATGCAGTATTTCATTTTGAAATACTAAAAACTTTGATTACTTCTCTTCCCATCCGAGTAGTCAAAAAATTTCTTATCCAAATGTTTATCCAAATGTTTAACATTACTAACAATATACTAAAGATAACCATAAAATGCAAATCTCCCGGTTTTCTCAAGTCCAACCACAAAGTCTGGAGAATAATCTTCAGTCCACAAACAAAGGAATATCAGGTTCATACAATGGCAAAAATGTGTAGCAACAAACCACCCCTACATCCAGAAACTAAATGCAAGATGTACTTCTCAATAGAAAAACAACGAATTAGAACATAATAAATAGAAGAACTCGAGAGATTAAGCACACAAAGCAAATATCACATTTTAAGTTAAATAAAATGTTGTTTGGCAACAAATGAGATTTAAATTACTAGGATTTAGTAAATTCTGCAAATTTGGATTTAGTGAATTCTCAGCAAGAAAATATTGTAGCGAGAAAAGATCCGAGGAAGAAGATCTTTGCTATTGAAACTTCTTGTATGCAAACCAAATAAAACAAAAAAAAGGGAAGTAAGAAATAAATTATTGCAGCTTGAATGATTAGAAGAAGGAAAGATTTGGATGATTGGAGGAAGATGATCGAGAAAGGGAGAAATCCCTTACAGTCTTGGACAATCGAAAGAAGAAGAAGAACAAGAAGATCCTTGCTCTTCGGCTTTGATGATTGAAAGGATAAGGAGAACCATGGGGCCTGGACAATCGAAGGAGGAAGAAGCTTCACTCGTGGCTCAGAAGACCGGAGAGGAAGAAAAAGAATCAGGGGGCAACTCGGTGCTTTGAATTTTGCGAATGTAGAGTGGAGGAATCTGACGAATTAAGAACATACTTGGCCAATAATTCTAATCATATCAAGGTTGACATTCAGACTAGCTTAGCGAGATGAGCGAGTTCTGCTGACCTGAAGCCCAATTAAGCTCAGTCAGCGCTTTCCAACCTGAGACCAAATAAGCTCAGTCGATCAATCCAGAGGGCAGTCCACTTGTGTGAGTGATAAACTCTTATATATGAAAGATTAAAAACACCATGTATAATCTCTTTAAAGTATGAATAAAAGTATAACATCATCAGCTTTTAATCTCTCACATATAAATAGAGAGATCATTTTATGTATAAAAAATGATGAATATGATTGATAAGATATTTCATTATTTATTATTGTTCAATCATGTCTCTATCTCTACTTCTGTTTCCATCTTCCCCTCCCTCCCTCCCTCCCTCCCTCCTAACTTAAGCTTAGGGGTGTAAAAGAGCTGAACACGAGCGAGCTTAGGCTTAGCTAGCCCAGGCTTAGCTTGTGTTCAGCCTGTTTATATTCCGAACACAAAAAGTGTGTTTGTGATCGGCTAATTTGCTTAGCGTGTCGAGCACGAGCTGTTCACGAAAAAAGAACCGTTTTGACAACTCTAACCACGTAGTCATAAGATGTTAAGGGTTGAGGCAAGATTTTAAAATTATTGTTTATATTAAAACATGATTTAATTCTCATTTAATAATTTTTATTATATTTTTTAATTAATACTTTTACTTAAATATAAATCTTTATAGCTTTGTAGTCGATTAATTTTTTTTAAATACTATATATATATATATATATATA